ATTCACGCCCTTGAAGACGTTACCCTCGAGGAGGCTCCAGGTGGCGGGCTCAATGTCGAAGGCGTGGCCGCTCATGTTCTCAAAGAGGTTGTTGACGGCGTGGAAGACATTGGTGGCGCCGTTCTTGTCGGTGCCGTAGTGCGGCGCGCGGCCCGAGATGTCGTGCAGCCAGTTGCCCGAGAAGGTGAAGAGGTCCTTGGCGCCGATGAAGAGGAGGGCCCAGTAGTGCTGGCCGTTGCAGCTGGCGGACCACTTGGTCGCGCCGTCAAACTCGTTGTTCGACACGGTGACACGGCCGGCGGCGTCCCAGCCCGAGACGATGAACTGGCGGCCGACGAGGGAGAACTTGTTGTGGTCGATCCAGATGTTGTCCGTGTTGCCCAGCGTCAGGGCATCGCCGCCCCACACCGACTTGGGGTTGATGTTGGTGAAGTGGATGTTCTGGATGATGATGTTCTTCGAGCCGATGATGCGCAGACCCTTGCCGACAATGGCACCCTTGTTGCCGACACCGATGATGGACTTGTTGCTGCCGACGGGCATGGGCTTTGTGCCGGCAGTGTCGTACTTGACCGAGGCAATGGGGTTCATCCTGGCTGTGTCGCCGCATGAAAGCGTTCCAATGTAGTCCTGGCCGCCCTTGGATACGGGGCAGTCCTTGTTCTCACAGCCGGCCGAGGTCGCTGTGCCCTCGGAGCCGATGAAGTTGAATTCCCGGTCGATCAAGATGACACGGGGCGTGCTGTCGGCGAGCCATGCAGCGAGCCTGGTTCCGAGTCAATATGCGCCCACAGCACGAGAGATGAGCCTGGATTTGCTCACTGCTTGATGTCGGCCGGGGCGGCCGGCGTCGCGCTGCCGCCACCGGTCGTGCCGGCGGCCATTCCGAACGCCTTGCCTACGACCTGAGCATACGCCGGGGACAGGACGCCGGCCGCGACGGCGAGAAAAATGGAGGCACGCATCCTAGCGGTTCTTTCTTGACAACAGGACTTGAGTGAAAAGTAGAGATGGTAATATTTCCGTGTATCAGGCGGCGGTTACCTCGAGGAATATCAGACCGGCCGGCGGAAGTAAGCCCGGACGAACTATCCTGAACACTGTGAAAATAGGCAAAGAAGCGAAGGCGTGATGTGAAACGAATGCTGAAATGGTGTAAAGAGTGACAGTAACCAAGATGGCAGAACAAAACGGCGTGTACCCTGGGGGTGACTGGTCACTGCATCTGAGGGAACGCAACTTATATCGTGATGTTCGGCATGCCTCGACCCAGGCTGGATATGGCAAGCTGTTCGGGGACTTCTCAAATAGGAAAGCCCACCAGGGACGGTCCAGGATTCACGGAGGCTTTATCATTGGCGTTTACCAGGCTGGGGCCGAGGTCTGTGGCGCTAATGCACATCCTGAAGAGGCGAATGCGAATATCCAGACGGAGGTATCAATCCAGAGTTGCGATGCCCGTTGTCCTGCGCAAGACGAATCGCAGTGTCGAAGCGTCGAGACGTATGGAGCGGTTTTCACCAAGGTTATCCTCTAGTCAGGCACAGCATCTCACCATTGGCTCCAAGTTGAACCTGCAACCATTGGTGATGCCTTGTCCGCCTCAACCACGTCGCAACAGATCTCGGGTCGGGAAACGGCAACAACCGTAATGTGTGGGGGGCCTTTGATGAAAGGGGCCAGTGATGGAAAGCCCCGAAGCAGATGTGCAGGGTTTCTCGGCGAAGGCATGGTCTGCTTGTACCACAACGGTCTAGCCCCGTTACATGTCGGCCGAACAGTCGTCCAGTGGCTGAAATAAAATTGATCAGAACCCACGCGGTGGTCTGAAAGCGTAAGGCTGCATCTTGTCGAAACACACGACTCGGACAACCTCCAAGATCGGTTTGGCCATGTGGCAAGATGCTTGGGTGCAACGGTGCTTGCAAAGATCCCAGGCTGGTCGCCAGCCAGGGACACTCGACTCCCACGAACAGAGCCTCGTCGTCTGGCCATGTAGACCATGGTCAAGCTCTGTGAGCTGGGCCACCGGCCGAGTTCCTCCTGACTAGCGGCAAGTGCTCTTCAAGTGTTCGTCATGGCGTGTGTGTGTTCAGGTCCTAACGTGCGTTTCCCTTTTTACAGTGGTGGCGCTTGAGAGCACAGCGCAATGGTAGGGGATGGGCTGGAATGTCGTCGGACCAGTGAGGCGCCTCGATGTATACCTTGGATGGACCAGGATTGCAACGCCAAATGTTGGGGGCCGGAGGAATCACTTCGCGATTCGGGTGATTTTTTGGCCCGGTACCCAGGGCCCGGTACCTTAGGTAAGGTACCTAGGTAGGTACCTAGCCACCTTACCTAAGAGGTAGGTACGGTAACGCACCTACCTGAATTAGGTACCCAGATACCTTGAATGCTTGACAGGTCCCAGGGCCCACCAGAGGCCACTCGCTAGCAGAACCTAGGTAGGTAGGCAAACACCTGTAAACAAAGCAAAGACAGCGCATTCCGATGACTCATGCGGCGGGGGGTTGTCGCTGGGGCCAGGCGCTGATGACCTTGGACACCAGAAATGGCCTGTCGACCAGTGATCTAGGTACCCACCTAAGGTACCTGGAGGTCGACAGTGAAGATCAACGTCACCGTTTTCAGCTAACAACCACCCACACTACCTAAAGTAAGGTAAGGTAAGGTAGGTAGGGAGGTGTCCAAAGTCGATACTTGGACCTCGACAAGCACATCAAGCCAAACACATGGAACTACATACTGCAGTGTTTTGAGCCTCGTACACTACGCACAGCATTCTCCAACCCCACAGCAGGCGTTCGGTTTTCGTACGGACGGCCCACATCCCAATCATGGATGATGTACGTACAATGCCGTGATGATGATGAGGACCCCGAGTACGCCATCATGGCAGCACCAGCGCATCATCGCAGCATGAGCCGGACGATGGGAGCTGTGGAGTCCTCTTTTT